TTCCTTGGTCTCTAACGGGAGCACGATCGGGCACGACCTTCTCCAAGCTGGGTCAATGATTTAATACCTAGTCGTTATCAATTAATCCTTGGATGTCTGCCTCTACCATGAAACTCCTCCACAGTAAACGCCTCACGGATAGGCTAATTGTTTTCTGTGGATAGATTTTCCCCATTCCAGGCGGTAGGAAAAGTTAGTGGCGCTCTTGTCTCACTGATCAGAGACAAGTGCTGTCGGTGGCAATTCATGTCGGAGGCAAGTCCTAAGAATACAATCAAGTATAGCATCCTGCCTTACTAGTGTATTTATACAGCAATGCGGTGGCCGAATGGATACAACATTTACCTTCTCTCCTAGGTGTTACTGGTTTACTGTGAATGGGTACCTAGCATACAGTGAAGTGTCAGCTACATTATGTGCCGAAAAAACAACTGAACCAACAGGGTGCTGTGTCTGTACTGCCCCTAACTGCTTATGAGACTCATTTTCACAAAGATATAGTCTTACAGTATTTATTTAGAAAAGAGAAAAACACAAACTGATAACAAAGAAATACATTTAGAGAGAGAGAGAGAGAGAGAGAGAGAGAGAGAGAGAGAGAGAGAGAGAGAGAGAGAGAGAGATCGTAAAAAGAGAGGAAGATAAAATATATATAAAGAGAGACAGAAAACCATAAGTTACTTGGAGTACAAAAAGTGTCACGTGGCATTATTTATTGGTGCCATTTAAGTTTTAGATAAGCCAAAATAAATTCTATACCAGATCAATTGAGGAGACAAATTCGTTCCCCTATTCCTTGTTCAATTTACTTATGTTCTATTAATATTTTTTACAGTTCTTTCTATCTTTTTCTCTTTTCGTTTTTCTAGCTTCTGTGTTTATCTCTTATTTCCCAAGTCTGTTCTTTTTCTATTGTTCTTTTCTTTTTATTTATCAAATCTCACTTATCTCTTGTCCCCTCTCTCTGTCTTTATTTTTTATGTAATCCATCCCTATACCCGTCTTTCCCCCGCCATACACCCAAGACCTGTGAAACTACGAACTCTCAGTCAACTTAATACATGGACAGTCAGAACCAACAGCATCATAAACAAAACAGTAAAACTTAAAACACTGCTCCTTCTTGAACCACAACTAACACACATGTTGGTGACAATTTGATGAAGTCAGGTGGGGGAGGGAGAGAGGGAGGATAGGAGGGAGGGAGAAAATATAAAAGTTTGCCACACAAATAATAAAAGGTCTTGCAACAGTATACAATATAACGAATGTGGAAACAATTTGTGGAAATAAACAATGAGGAGAATTTCCGACTATTACGTTGCAATATTAGTTTTTAGTTTAAATTTAATTTTACCTTTAGCACTAGTGTACTATTTTGTGTATATATATATATATATATATATATATATATATATATATATATATATATATATATATATATATATATATATATATATATATATATATATATATATATATATATATATATATATATATTGACTATGATTTGTGCTTAAATATACTACATTGTATTAACATATTCTCGTTTCTTAGTCACAAATCATATATAATAACTTATAAATGTATTACTTTATTTGAAAATACTTAATTACAGTCTATTAAAATATTATTCACGTTACTGAATCATACAACATTTTTAAACAAACACCAACACATATAGCCCTTTTAAGTCTGGGGATTTGTTTTCGTTGACCTTTATATAAATCATACACTCGTATACATACTGTTTATACTCACACAATACGTCGCTGTATTAGTAATTCATAAGTATCTTGACAATATGGAAAAAATAGGAATTCAGAGACTTTTATTTAACTGTCGTGGGTCAAAGGAACTGGCCCCTGGACCATCATCCTGCACCATATTAATAACAAAAAATATGTAAGTTTAATCCTCAGCAAGCTGGTCTAAACACTTGGAATGCTTCATAAGTATTACTGTTTACTACGATCTGACGTGAGCACAATGTCTCACAGAACCTTAAGACCGTTCAGACAAGATCACCGAAAATTGTGACCGAATTAAGTAGAACCAGCTCTCTCTCTCTCTCTCTCTCTCTCTCGCTCTCTCCAAAAGATATCAATACGTTGGGGAGAGAGAGAGAGAGAGAGATCTTTCCTCCAATAGGGATGAAAACAGGTGGGAGAAGACATGAGCGAGAGACAAATATAGTTTGAGAGAAACAGTATGAACCAGAGACGAAAAATGAAGAAAAGTTAGAGACGCCTCAAAAATGGTTCAGCAACGATGAGAGAGAGAGAGAGAGAGAGAGAGAGAGAGGACAAGGGGCAGTCATCGGTCGGAGTGGACTAGGTTATTGTGTGTACACGACGTGTTGACATTTGCAGCCCCAGGAGGTACAACCTATACTGGGCCAGCAATAGGTGTGTGAGTTTCCACCTGCATATTAGTATCTTCCCCTCGAATATACTGGGTGTCTTTTTTCCTGACTATGCTAGTTTCTTTTCCCATGACTGTGGTGATAACTTGAGCCTAATTTTGTTCGGTTTTTTCGCTAAGCTGTATTGTTTATTATAGTGAGAAATGATAGCTTCCTTTCACCTGATATTTCCTGACTATTTTACTTTCAATATTCTGGTTTCTTTTGCCTGAATTTCTTGGTCTCTCTCCTTTATTGTTTTCATTCACCTGAAACTTTCGGTGTCTATGCCGTCACGCACAATGCTTTCACGAATCTGCAGGTTTATTCTCCCTGTCGTAGTGTTACTCGTGGTCTGATCTTCACCTTTAAAACTGTATTCACATTCAACGAGCTTAACGAGTTTAACTATGTAAACCATTTTCGTTCTGAGGTCGCAAGTCGTGTACAGCTAAAAAACCTTCAATACTATTTATTAAAACTTCAAAAACAAATTCAATTTTCAGATTTCAATGGCAAATAGAAATCGATTTGAATGCCAAACAAGTAAAATTAACTCGATTTAACAGATCTCTCTTTCTCTCTCTCTCTCTCTCTCTCTCTCTCTCTCTCTCTCTCTCTCTCTCTCTCTCTTTCTCTCTCTCTCTCTCTTCGGTGAGACAGACTGCCTCAGCTAAATTCCCTGAAGTATATGAGATCTGTTTTACCAACTAACTCTGTGTCATATATTAAGTTGTTATGCATTTAGCTAATTTACTCTTGCATTTAAAGTGAGTGACGCTAATGAGCAAGCTAGCCAACTCAGGTAAGTAGTAAATGACTTAGGGGAACGCCTTGCGAGGTAATTAGTAAGTGATTCGACAAGCTGACGATGGAGGTGAAAGTGGGACCCGTGAGCATGAAGGTCAGTTAGGGGCGGTTTGGATACAGTACACTGCAGTACCAACCCCAAGCAAATAATAAATAAAGTATTATCTCACTCACTTTACACGATTACAAGGTTAATGATTACAAGAATTCACTTCAACAAATCTTTCTGGAATTCTGAGGAAAAAAATCCTTGTGTTTCCGTCCAATTTCTTCAAACAAAGAGACGATTAATCTTAGTTAATTCTGAAAGTTTCTCGCCCTTATATTCCCTTCAATTAATTGCAACCCAAGACCGAATCTAATTAAATAGAGTGTCAATTCAATTTTGTCGCCATTTTGTGGAAGTTAGAGAGAGTTAAAATTTCAGGCCTGCTCTTTATAGGAAAAAAATAAAACTAGAGTGTTAGGTGGAATTGGTTCATTGATCTTTGTACTGAAATTGAAAGTGCTTATTACGCTGACATTACACACACCCGCACTGTACGCTGAGATTTACACACACCTGTACTGTACGCTGAGATTTACACACATCTGTACTGTATGCTGAGATTTACACACATCTGTACTGTATGCTGAGATTTACACACACCTGTACTGTACGCTGAGATTTACACACATCTGTACTGTATGCTGAGATTTACACACACCTGTACTGTACGCTGAGATTTACACACATCTGTACTGTATGCTGAGATTTACACACACCTGTACTGTACGCTGAGATTTACACACACCTGTACTGTACGCTGAGATTTACACACACCTGTACTGTACGCTGAGATTTACACACATCTGTACTGTACGACGAGATTTACACACACCTGTACTGTACACTGACATTTACACACACCTGTACTGTACGCTGAGACTTACACACACCTGTACTGTACGCTGAGATTTACACACACCTGTACTGCACTCTGAGATTTACAGACACCTGTACTGTGCACTGAGATTTACAGACACCTGTACTGTGCACTGAGATTTACACACACCTGTACTGTGCACTGAGGTTTACACACACATCTATAAAAGGGATGGTTTGCTTGACATGTAAATCGACGTATACACAGGGATGATGTACACTCACCTGTACACGGGAAAGGTAATACTGTACACGGGAGGGGGAACACCATATACGGGAGGGTAATACTGTACACGGGTAAGGAAACACTGTGCACGGGAAAGGTAACACTGTGCACGGGAAGGTAACACTGTACACGGGAAAAATAACACTGTACGCGGGAGGGGGAATACTGTACACGGAAAAAGTAACACTGCACACGGAAAAAGTAACACTGCACACGAGAAAGGTAACACTGTACACGGGAAAGGTAACACTGTACACGGGAGGGGAAATACTGCACACGGAAAAGCTAACACTGTACACGGGAAAGGTAACACTATACACGGGGAAGGTAACACTACACACGGGAAAGGTAACACTATACACGGGAAAGTTAACACTACACACGGGAAAGGTAACACTATACACGGGAAAGGTAACATTATACACGAGAAAGGTAACACTGTACACGGGAAAGGTAACATTATACACGAGAAATGTAACACTATACACGGGAAAGGTAACATTATACACGAGAAAGGTAACACTGTACACGGGAAATGTAACACTATACACGGGAAAGGTAACATTATACACGAGAAAGGTAACACTGTACACGGGAAGATTAAAGCTGTACACGACAAGAAAGTATATATTCACCTGTACACGGGAAGAGTTTGGCTGGATCTGTACCAAAGGACGAGGAGAGCAGAGTCTTTGTCGTGCTTAGGGGAAGGAGCGCATGGCAGGTCAGCTCGTCCACCCCTCACCACCCACACGGACCTGACCACACCTGCAGGAGACACACACAACCTGGTTAATCTTATGTTTGGTAAATTCTACTATAAGGTTATAAACTTTCCAATGGTAATCTATTGGTATGTTATTATATACAGGCTAACTTACGAATGTCCCTATTTAAGTTGCACAAGTTCCTGATGTTACTCTGTACAGTACTTCTCCTCTTACGAGTCTTGTCATTTGATAAATAGTCATCAAGAACTCAATTAATATTTTCTCTATTACTTTTACCTGAGATTATTTTACTATTAGTGACATGATTATATGTATTCATAGATATAATTATTACATTATATATATATATATATATATATATATATATATATATATATATATATATATATAATAAATCACTGTAGGTGCGTGATCTGGGTATATGCTGATAACCACAAGGGAAGAAGAAACACAAGTTCTAGTCTGTACTCACCCTGAAGATGTGAATTACGAAAGCGCTTGGGAACTTCGTGTTCTTCCTTATATATATATATATATATATATATATATATATATATATATATATATATATATATATATATATATATATATATATATATATATATATATATATATATATCTTGTGCACTATATCTTTTCTGATAATTAATTTATGTACAGCATTATATATCTTGCTGTAGAACTGTTGACAGTTCTGACCTCACTAGAGGAAAGGTCACGGCTGCTTAGCTCTGCTCCCAGGGTTAATTATCAGATATGGCTAGTGCTACTGGTGAATTGGGTTATGCCCTTCTGTGGGCTGAGTTACAGAATACCAAAGAAAAAAACCTGAAATCAGAGTTAGAAAACTTGAAATTAAAGGAAGAGATAGCAAGAATGAAGGAAGAAACGGGACAAAGAAGGCAGGTGAATGAAGATAACTCTGGGGAATGGAAGGTTGTGAGGAGAGGGACGACAAAACTGGTGGTGAAGAAACACACCAAGTATACCACAACAACAGCTAAGTGTACCAACTCGTTTAGTCCCTTGATAGATGAATTGGACGTTAGTACAGTCAGGGACAGGGCTGACAAGGAAGGTGTAAAAACTTTAATTGTTGGTGACTCACAGGTAAGGTAATTGGTCAGGGCTTTTTGTGGTAAAAACAAAAATAGGATGAGGGTGTGTTTGCCAGGGGCTGGGGTGGGGGATATAGTTGACAGGATGGACAATATCTTGTCTGGTAATGGGAACAAACCCATTATCTGCCTCAGTGCAGGAGGCAATGATATTGGCCGGTGTAGGAGTGAAGAGCTTCTTGATAAGTTCAAGCCAGCTATAGATCGCATTAGGGCTAAGGGAGGGATCCCTATCATATGTGGTGTCCTGCCAAGAAGGAGAGTTAGCAATGAATGGTTGTCCAGGGCAGTTGGTGTCAACGGCCGTATTGACGGATATTGCAAGTCAATATCAGTCCCATTCATTGACAACTGGGACAACTTCTACGGCAGAAGGGACATTTATGCTAGGGATGGGGTGCACCTGTCTAGGGAAGGGGTGGCAACCCTGGCGGGGTCTCTAGAGAGGGCAGTTCAAAAGATATCTAAGTCTTTAAACTGCTAGGGGAACATATGGGCATGGGGGTGAGGGAGACTGCAGCGGGAGCGGGTAAACAAAGTGAAAGATTACAGGGAAATAGTGTTAGGAATGATGACAAAACTAAATTAGACAGGAAGTTTAAACCTAAATTCGGAAAAGGGAGGACTCAGAACACGACTAACTTAAATGTCTACTACGCGAACAGTAGAAGTATGAGAAACAAAATGGATGATATTTGGGCCTTGGTATGTACCGAAAAAATCGATATAATAGCATTCACTGAAACATGGATCAACCTAGACTCACGTGAGTTACCTGTCGGATACCAAATTGCGGATTACAAATTGTTCCATACCGATAGGCCGTCCAGGAAAGGAGGCGGAGTAGCCATCTATGTCAGGGATAATCTGAAGTGCGAAATAAATAAGGAAATAAAAACTGAGCGGAATAGAGAAACAATTTGGATAGAAATAATCGACGGTAGGGAAAAATTAATCATAGGGGTAATATATAGACCTCCCAATCTTGATAGAGTTAATGAGCGACTTATCTGGGATGAAATGCGCAGGGCTTCCATACACAACAAAGTCTGTATAGTAGGCGATTTTAACCTCAGTATCAGAGGATTTCCTCGAAACGATCCAGGGCTGTTTCCTAAGTCAACATATAACCGAACCCACACGGGGTAATAATATACTCGATTTAGTTGTGTCGAACAGAGAAAACCTCATTAGCAATGTCGAGGTAGGGAACGAACTTGCAAACAGCAATCACAAAGAAATTAGATTCCAGTTAGATTTTCAGGTCAGACGTAAGGAAAATTCCACTAAAGTACCAGATTTCAGAAGGGCAAACTTTGATAGTTTAAAGAGGCAGCTGAGAGAGGGGGGTGTCACGCTTCGATGTGAACCTGACAGACGACACTGACCTGATAACGAGATCTGAGATTGCCGAGTTCCACGACAATTTAAATAATAAGTTACTTAATGCACAAAGGCAGAACATACCATACAAGAAACTCAGATCAGACAACAATGACCCTAAATGGATAAATAATTATTTAAAGAACATTATTGGCCAAAGGAAGGCTATAAGTAGAAGGATAAATCGTGGCGAAACTTACCTCCGGGAGTATTATAAGGTATTGGCCGGTAGGGTCAAGACTGCGATAAGAATAGCCAAGAGGAACTATGAACTGAAGATAGCAGGGGAGGCGAAAACAAACCCCAAAGGATTCTACCAAATGTATCAAACTAAAACACGAGATAAGATTGGACCAATACGTTCAGATACCGGCGAGCTAACTCATGACGACGGAGAAATGAGCAATAATCTGAATAAATATTTTTCAACAGTTTTCACCACCGAAAATTTAAACATGATACCCGAGGCACCGACTCTATTCAGAGATATTGAAGAAAACAAATTAAGCGAGATAGTAGTGACTAGTAACGATGTTAATAAGCAAATAGACAAACTGAAGCCTAATAAGTCACCTGGTCCCGATGAGATATTTGCCAGAGTATTAAAGGAATGTAAGGATGAGCTTAGTATGCCCTTAGCAAAGTTGTTTAACATGTCATTAAAAACAGGTGTAGTACCAGAATCCTGGAGGATAGCGAATGTAATACCGATTTCCAAGAAGGGGGATAGATCACTATCCTCTAACTACCGCCCAATCAGTCTAACATCAATAGTAGGTAAATTACTAGAATCAATTATTTCAAACTCTATTCGAAACCACCTGGAGAAGCACAAGTTGATCAATGATTCCCAACATGGCTTCACAAGCGGGCATTCATGTCTAACTAATCTATTAACATTCTTTTCATCAGTTTTCGAATCGGTGGACGAGGGGCACAATTATGATGTGGTATATCTCGACTTTAGCAAAGCCTTGGACAGAGTCCCCCACGAAAGACAAATTAGAAAGGTAGAAGCGCATGGCATCAAAGGTAATATCCTTAAATGGATTGGGGCTTGGTTACGGGACAGGAAACAGCGAGTGAGCATAAACCGCACTAAATCTCATTGGAGCAACGTCACTAGTGGAGTTCCCCAAGGCTCAGTACTTGGACCATTATTATTTATTATATACATAAACGACATAGATATCGGCATAGACAGCAACCTAAGTAAATTTGCTGATGACACTAAAATAGGACGTGTAATTAAATCTGACGAGGACTCTGCAAAACTACAGGAAGATCTGAACCAATTTTTCGAATGGTTGGAAAAATGGCAGATGAAATTCAATGCTCACAAATGTAAAGTACTCATTATAGGAGATGTAAACAGGGAAACCAGTTACCAGATGAACAACGATGCCATTGTGGAATCCGACTGGGAGAGAGATTTAGGAGCAATGATAAGTAGGAATCTTAAGCCAAGTAAACAATGTGTTTTTGCTCGTAACAAGGCTAATAAAGTACTTGGGTTCATGCAAAGGAGTGTTAGTTACAAGACTAGAGAGGTCATCTTAAAGTTATATGTAGCGCTTGTGAGACCTCACCTGGATTACGCAGTTTAGTTCTGGTCACCGTATTACAGAATGGATATAGAATCACTGGAAAGAATCCAGAGGAGAATGACAAGACTAATCCCAGGCATTAGGAACCTTGAATACAGAGACAGGTTAAAGCATCTTAATTTGCACTCCCTCGAGAGACGTAGAGTGAGGGGCGACATGATAGAGGTGTATAAATGGAAGTCAGGGTTAAACAAAGGGGACAGAGGTACTCAAACTATCCAACCAGGAGCGAACTCGTAACAATGGTTTTATATTAGACAAATTTAGATTTCGGTGTGATATAGGTAAACACTGGTTTGGAAACAGAGTAGTGGATGAATGGAACAAGTTACCAAATATCATCATCAGCTCGAATACGCTGGATAGCTTCAAACATAGGTTGGATGCTTATATGAGCGATAGGGGTTGGGTATAAGCGGGACTGCCCAGTATGGGTCAATAGGCCCGCTGCAGTTTCCCCCATTCTTATGTTCTTATGTGTGAACGAATGCCTCTTACTGAAGCTGTTTCCTGTGCACTCTCAGTATTTACTCACTCTCATCTTCATCACTATATCTCGTTATCCTTTTTCTCTCTCATTTTCTGTGTGGTTGAAAATATTCTCGTAATCTGTCTATCAATCTTTCTTCATGTTCTCTGTTATCAATTTTTCCATTTATTGTTTATTCTTCAATTTTCGTCAACACCACGTCAGTCTCGTACAGGGGCACACAGATCTTTTCCCAATGATTGTATAGGCATCCATCTCTCGCTCGGTGTATACGTATGCGTGTGTATGTATACATGTATGTATACATGCGTGTATGTATGCATGTATGTATGTTTGAATGTACATGTAGAGCTACATCGTTTTCCGATTATTGACCTACACCAGGATGGCGTAGGGGTTATGGACATCGCTCTGTGCGTGTGTGTGTGTGTGTGTG